ATAAATTTTCCCTCCATCTTACAACGCACAAAGTTGGCACCACGATATTCGACAAAAAACGATACATACTACCATTTTGTTCTAGATTTTGCAATTTTTCTTTTAAGATTAAAATATTCCTTCCTCTATAATAAATACGACTGGCGCTAGTATCGATCCTATTTTATGATACATTGAAGCGTAATAGCGTTGGATCCGAAAATTTTTTCTGTGGGTGTATTTATTTCTCCAATTCATCCGCATTTCGGGATTTGCACAAGTGGAGAACAAATAAAAATGATCCTACGAATCGCGAGAAGCAGACAAATAGCGCGGTTGTGGGTAGATGCGGGGTTTACACGAGCGAACTTATCGGTACGAATCGAAATCTATTGATGTCAATAGCTACAGTTATCGAACACCGGCATTATCGTGCCGCTGTCCGTGTTCCAAAATATATCTCGCAAACACTTGCGAAGCACCGTTGTTCGCGCGTTTACGGATCGCTATTATGGGCCCTGTACAGCGACCGTATTTTTTCCTCGGGCTCGAAATTCGCCAGCACGTAGGCGGATGAATTGGATCGTTATCTGTACAATAGAGAGACGCGGCTTTAGAGAAGCGGCAAAATGGCGTAACTCAGTGGTATCAGTCGCTTAAACAGAATTCAAATTGCTCAATTCGGTACAATGTATCTGATTCGAGACCATCCCGCAAAGATCCGCCGATCTGTATAATCCGCAGGTACAAAGCGATGCGTACATTTCGCCGCAGAGAGAACGAGCCGGCAGGTTTTCCGAGAGTGGTAAATATGTTTTGTCGTGTCCCTCTTCCCTCCTGCCCCTCGGATAAGCAATTCTTTCCCGAATCGATAAGATCGTACCTGCAGCGTCGAACGGCGCACGTGCCAAGTTTTTTCCCAGTGTCCGCGGTCCAAGGAAAACACGTGCATATATCTCGCCGCGAAGGAGAGAAAGGGAGAGGAGGAACGAAGCCAAGGAGGAAATCGAAGCGGAACTTGCAGATTGGAAACTTTTCGGGTCGCGACGATCGACGAACCGCCGCGTTAAGAAAACAATTAGGACGATTAGCAAATCGCGCTGCAAACTGAATGAGATCGGCGGAGAAGAGCGTAATACATTAATCCGCCACCGGAGGAATGTTTTATTTTCTACTAAATCTTTATTTTAGAAGTAGACTTTAATATTCATTTCTACCAATGTAGAGCACTCGTGAACTTGGAATTAAAAATGTCGATAATTGACGTTTTTAATTCCGTCTCCTATCTTATCGACACTGTTCGAGTTCGCCAGCGGCTTTATAGGATCCCCTTAAGGCTCGGTTTCCCCAACGTCGCTTAACTTTAAACTTAGCTTGTCCTCAACTTTAAAATTCTTGTCCCTAATCTAAACAAGTATTGTCGTCAAGTGTACCAAAAATTAGTACAATTTTTAATTTTCTTTCGTTTTTGACATAAAGTCGAGCAGCATAATCTAGATTTTGCCGCGTACTTTAATTCCGTAAAAGAGTTGTGCATTTCTATAAAGCCAATTAAAAGATTACTTCTAACAAAGAATGTCGATAAAACAGACGGCTTTAGGATCCCCTTAATCGCTGATTAATCCAATTGGATTTTCGACCAAGTTTTATCCTATAGTCTTTATCGAAGAAGGCATTTGTTTCGTACGCATGGCACCATCTATCCGTCGGCGACAAACCGTAGTCGCAAGCGCACCCGTCGGTGTGATATTACGCAACGGACGACAACCTTGCTTGCAGCTACCTGCATTATCTACCAGCCGTAACAATTTTGCGAGAGTCCGCTGTCGCGGGGCGCCGCCGCGAAGATTGAAACATCGATCACGCTGCTCCTTCGGCGCGTTTTCCACAGCACGTTTTCTTCGGATGAGCGCGAAAAATAAAAACAGTCCGCTTGTTCAAACAGGCGTGACTACAGCGTGCCGAGTTTACTTTGGAAACTTAATTTTCGTTCCCGCCTCATCTCTCCGTAAGATGTTCAAACGTTGGGCTGAATGTAATGTTACAATAATTTTGATAAAAATATCACCGGGACGATGTAGAGTTGTTCATCGCTTCGAGACTGTCGGAGACACGTGGGCACCGCTTCCTATGATTTGATGCCGCTGACCAGTGCATGGAGAATTTTCTTGTTAAAATTCATCCTGAAAATAATGTAATCGTGGGACAACACGGCATTTCCAAATATTTTACGAGAGTTTCTTGAAATTTTACCGTACATTTCACTAGTAATTATACTTAGTATGCATTTTACTAATAAAATGTGGATGGCGATCGTAGCGCAGAGGATTGTGCGCTGGTCTGGTAATCCGAAGACCCGGGTTCAAAACCAAACAAAAACATTGTTGGTTTTTCGTTCGATCGCCACATAGCGAAGTGGATATAGAGAGAGTGTTATAAAGAGGTTTGGGCACGTTCCTTCAAAAACGCCTTGTAACCCTAAGGGGAATCAATAAAATATACTACTACTAATAAAATGTATGGTAAAATTTCAGTAAACTCTCATAAAGTTCTTCAAAATACGGTGTTATCCCATGACCGCACGATTTTCAAGATAAATTTTAAGTACTACAATTTTAACATAGGTTCTTTAAGATATAAAATCAATTAGAAATTAAATAGGCCGTTTAGGACCGGGCATAGGTGTAAGTAGCCAGTTAAATTTTAAAACAAAATTGTCTCCGTGTAGACTTTAAAACAGTCAATATCTAGTAAAATACTCCTTTCAACAATTAAATGTTTTTAAGTAGTGATGCGTGAGCGTGTATCTTATTAATAATTAAAGGATTGAGATAAAGTTAACTTGCTCACTGTTGACCGCATTGCACTGTCAAAAAGCCCACCCTTTCGCCTGTGATTATTAATTTAATTTCATTATTCTTAGTTAATTATCCATTTATTTTGTAGATTATTTTATATTATTTAATCAGATACAAACAATATAAAATTTATAATAAAATATTAAAATAAAATTATAAAAACTGTCATAAAAGATCCATCCGTAAAACACTTCATAAAATTTATATAAAACGTTAAAGTTTTGCAATCAATAATGTTGTAAATATAAACCTTACATGATATAACATTTTTTTAAATAAGTTATTTAAAATAATTACATTATTTATTATCAGAGAATCACATAAAATTATGAAAATCACGATAAAATATTTGATATCTTTACATAAAATTACAGCGTCCTTTATTTTTAAGAATTAAATTATAAAAACTAAATCTTGTTTATATATTCGTGAAACGATTGGACATTTAAATAAAAAAATATTTGAAAAATTAAAATATTAAACAATACTCTAGCGGCAATTAGTTTCGCCATGTCGTTCGACTTTAAATCTAATTAAATTTTCTCCTTGTTCCTTTACGGTTTTAGTTCTAAGAAAACCCCCAGAGAGCGATTAAACAGATTGAACTTTCCCAAAGTCGGCGAAATCGTCTGTAAACCAGCTTGCTAATGAGTGAATGCACATTCCTTGAGCGCTTCCCTCAAAAGAAGACTTTATCCGCTAAAAAGTAATAAAGGTTTCATAATTGACTCTCATCCGAGCAAGCGGTTGTTAAATCTATCATTTTAGTTATCATTCATGTTAGTGGCGCAATATCAATCAGTATAAAAGACACGCGTGTATTATGCATGTATAAAAAGATAAATCTTTTGTACACTAGACAATTATGCATTGATTTAAAAGTGTTTACCTTGTGTAAAAATATCGGAGTAACTGGAAGGGTCCGATAGACCCTACTTTCCCGCGTCCGAGTTATAAAAATAGGTAGTCCACATAAGGGTTAATATTATAGGTGTACGTGAATGTATAAGATTTATTGGCGTTCACACGCGCGCGATTATAAGAAAAAAAAAAGTATTAATTCATCTTGTTGCAAGTAAATTCACGTTGAATAAAGGGGTGGATTCGCGTTATGCGATATCTTTAAATTCGTCTTCACGTTGGAAATGTTTTTTATTAAACCTCGCCTAAATATTAAAACCATTCAAACTCATTTGCGAGCAAAACTTGTGTTGAAGTTATACCTGAAAATATATGCGCGCTTTCGTGCAACAAATGGAAGAAACGTTCTGCACGCCTCGCGCTGTCACTAAAACGACAAGTGTAATTTCGTTTGTACTTCTTTTTCGTTTTAATCGTAACATAATGTTTGAGGAAGAGGAATTTTTATGAATGCAAGAAGATAAAAAATGCGCATCCCCCTTTCTGGAACACGTGAATGCAAAATTCATCTGTGGACCCGGACGTCCGCCGCACGGTTGGCAGTCAGGCGTTCCGAGGGTTGAAACATGCAAAGGAGTTAAGTTTGCGGGTCTCGCGTATGTCGCAATTATTGATACTTACAGTCGACGAGATGTGTTGCCACGTAAGTCGCCGTGCACGTCGCTCGCGTGCACGTCGCGACGTAAATCTACTACAATATTCGCGTTTCGCGCATGCAAGGGCGACGTTTGCGAATAAATATCAAAGATGTCTAAAGTCTAGCACTTGGTTTACACGCCTTTGCGTAAACAATACGAGGGACGGATCGATTTCTGCGAGAAGCATACGGCGCGAAGCGAAAAATAATGAATTACAGTAGTACATTGTAGTTAAACGTCGAAGCAAGCGTAGGGAATAAATTTCGTAATACGAAGACTGCAATTAAAAATTCTTTTTTGTTTAATTATTAAGTGTAGTTTCTCTTTCAGAAATGTATGCAGTTTTTCTCGAGGGGGTAAACCGCTGACCAAAATCATGTACACCCACTGGGCATTAGTAGGCATTGGTGTACATGATTTTGGTCAGCGGTTTACTCCCTCGAGAAAAACTGCATACATTTCTGAAATTAATCTTATTATCAAATTAATAAAATTTGTACGTCTCAAATGTGACAAACGCAAATGTGAGGGAATAAAGGACTAAGAGCCGTGACAGGGTGTTAGTGTCTAAATATTTTGTTCTAAATTTATCGCGAAAAAGTATCACCTCAGCCAGGGTTTGAACCTGGACCTCCCTCTCGTTAGGCGGGCGTCTTAACCAACTTTGACCACCGAGGCACATGGCAATATTCATCGCAATAAACAGCTGTTGATTCTTGAATGCCATCTATCGTAACAGTATTCGAAGTCTTAAAACACAGTGCAACCCTACAGTGTATCCCCATTATTACCCTCCTAAATTTAGAATAAAATATTTAGACACTAACACTCTGTCACGGCTCTTAGTCCTTTATTCCTTTATCTTATTTTATCTTTGTCATGCCCCAGCAAGGCTTAATGCCCAAAAAGAGGGGGAAACCGCTGACCAAAATCTTGTACAGCAATGCCCACTAATGCCCAGTGGGCATTACTTTATCTTATTATCTTCTTTTATCTTATTTATCTTCTTTTAGCTTATTGTATCTCATTTTATTTTATTTTATCTTTATAATGCCTCAGCAAGACGTAATGCCCCAAAAATGCCCTAGTAATGCCCGGTAATGCCGCAAATCTGTACACCACAATGCCCTCAGCGGTTTCCCCCTCGGCCCAAAATAATGCCCAAAAGTGCCAAGTAATGCCCAGTAATGCCGCAAATCTGTACACCCACAGTGCCCTCAGCGGTTTACCCCCTCGGTTACTGCATTCGAATTAACGCACGTGATCGTCAATACTGCGACAAATTCCTTGAGCGATCACCATTTACGCAAAGTACCCCCGAGCAAACGTGCGTTTAACTTAATTATACAGTGTATTAATATGCGGCCTGTACTCTTTGCACACTACAAATCAGTTTGCGTGCGTCATGAGGTGAGCCGGAAATCGTGAAGTAAACACTTAATCATAGTCGACTTGAGAGCTCGTCGTTAATACGTAACAAGGATATAGCGAACAAAAAATCTGACGACTAATTCATTACAGATCTGGGAATCGAACGTACGGACGAACGTAGGCGTCTTTCGAAAAAAAAAATCGCAGGAGAAGTCGTGTCGATATCTAGCGTAAAGTCAATAAACATCATTAATATTAAATACTATTGCGATCGTTAATAATGTATCATTATATAGTCATCAATTATCTGCAAATCGCGGGTAATGAACGTATTTCGAAATGCATTTACTAATCGAAGTGTTCTATACAACTTTGATAAACGAGCTTCTTCCCATCGAAATGCTCGGTGAGTTTCTAAAATAAAATTGACATTTCCCGCGCGTGTAATTATGGCACATGGCGTCTATTAACGGCGAAGAGAATAGAATCGACACCGTGGAGGTGTTAACGAAGAGTCAGTGAACACCGAGTGAACTGTTTTACATTCAATGAATCTTAAAATTGTGACATATCACGGAAAACACAGAATTAAAGCTGCCTCAAGTTGATATTTTCGAGAGAACCTGTGCCTGTGAATGATTGAATATGACGGGCGGTTTAATGCGATATTTATAAAAGACAGTGAGAGAGAGAGAGAGAGAGGGGGGGGCGAGACAATTGGAAAAGTTAATTAAAATAAATCTTAGTATCAACAGAATTGCAGGTAGACATTTAAAATGGATGTTGTAACTTTTTTTATTGCATTTATATCGTACTTTTAATTGTTTCTGGCTTCAAATGACGAAACACTACCTAACAATTTTTTAATTGTAAACTATAAAATTACTTCTGGAATATTGTGAATTTCACAAAATAAATTGACACGAATAATTTTCATGTCAATTTATTTTATTTCTTACTTCAATGATTGGCAACGCACAAAGAACTGATAGAAAAATATATCAGTAAATAAAAATAGTTTCAATTACAATCCTATTTGTACAATACAAAATATGTATTGCAATACATTCTGTTGTTTATTTTGTTTTAACAAAAAGTTCCAACAGTAAGGGAAATATACAATAATAATGGTTGTCACAAGAAAAAAGAAACAGTCATTTATAACAACGTTATGACAACTATTTATTATCGCATTCCTTTTATTACTGTTTTACTCGTTTATTCCAATTAACAAGAGACTGTTCAAGGAAGGACCTTTAACATTTTGCCCCGACTCAGGCAAGAAAGAAAATATTTAATAATGCCCTCAAGATCAGAGATTAGACGGCGCGACGCCACGTTGAGTGGAGTTAAGTTACGATATCCAGCCGCGCGGCCCTTATAAAGTCCTTAATTAACGGTCAACGTAGCTACGACGCCGAGGTGCTGCTCTCTCGTCCGAATGGCCCTGGTCAATATGATCTTAAAGCGCAAACTGCCGTCGTGTTTTCCGTCATTTACCACGTGACCCGATGTTCAAACAAATCGAACGTATATAGCCATTTTTATGGCTCGCGGTTCGAAATAAACTTCGGTATAAAAACACGACTCGCGGCTTTGTATACGATTAACAGCCAACGGTTCCAGGTCGGTGCTTTAACGATGAACTACGTAATTACACGCGATTAGGGCGACGACCTCGTGAAACATCTCGCGGTGTCCCAAAGTTGTCGCCAATTCGCGCTTTGCACTTCTTTTAAGCCGTTTAAAAATTCAGTTGATTTCAATTTTTCCTCTCACATCACAATTCCCTAGATATTAGAGGAAAATCTTCTGTTGCGAAACAGGATTCTAATGTGAGACAGTAGGCTCTCAACGTCCAAATTCAATCACAAATCCTTTCTCGCAACGATCACACGATCTAACGGTTAATTTTCCACTAAACAGATTTCGCCCCATAGACAATAAATTCATGATGTGAAACCAACATGATGCCTTTAATTTAGCAGAGACTCCGCTGTCTCATACTAGAAGTCTATCTTGTAATCAGGGACTATCCTCTATCTATTCCAGATATTACCTATATCTCTAGATATTATTAATTTCATATCTCTTAGATATTAATTCATAAACTAGCGCAATTTTCCGCACGCTATTCGACATTTATTGTAAAGACTGGCATTTAAAAACCACCAGTCTTTTCAGCAATCGGAACGAGATTTCCTCTCATCGAGTCATCTATGAGAGAGAAAAAAAAAGGTTTCTGCGGTCGCACTCTTACTCCAAATGTTTTTACTTACGTAACACCGCGGCACGGACGAACAGGAGGCTCGTTTCGTGAGACTGCGTCGTTAAGAGACGGAAGGCGCGCGCAGTTGGCCTTTTTTCGCCGAATCGTAAAGCTTTTATACGCGGCTTATTGTCGGCTATGCACACGCGGAAACGGGAGTCGGGGCATCGGGCGACCGCGTGGTAATCGCGCGTGACAGACGGCACCCCCGTCGTTTCTGCATAACTACCGCGTGGAAAATTAAGGCCGTCCAAATTAGAACGATCCCCGCCCGACGGTTCCCAACGGAACGGAACATTTCCCCCCGAGATTTACGGCCAGATTAAATCCGAATAACACTCCGATATTTGCCAAGTCGGGGGTACGTCGGTAGTTAATTGGAGTATCGTTTTTACGGCGTTCCATTAAAGATATTAACGCCGATCATCGGCTGATATACGCCGGCACTCGTTCTCCTGTGTAACGCGACCGCGTTTATGTTCTTCGACGATCAAAATAGAAACATCGGTCCATTCTGCGCATTGTAATGATACGCGAATCATTAAATCGCGCGAGATGGATTATATTTCCACTTTGATACCTTGTATGCGCTCGATGTAAACGAGTTTCACCGCGCGAAATGCAGGTATGATCGTATGTCAATCGAAGATACGTGCAGTGATGGACAGAATGGTTGCGCCACTTCGTTCGGCTTTCTTTCCAAAAGTCTGCTGCTTCGAGGAATATTTTACTCGATGGCCATTCCGAAAGCATTTTGAGCGTTTTCAATCTATTTCTCAAGTAAACTTTCCCTTAGAAAAAAATGTTTTGGAACGTAAACCTGAATTTTAATAGTAGGTCCAATTAGTGTCCCTAGAATAGAGAGTCCGGCCAATACATCTAGGGATGTGGAAAAATGGCGGATATCTGTTCGTTTTTGCTACACTTCTAAACTCGAACTGAAAGTGCAGTAAATGAATAGACACCGTACATGTGAACATAAAAACGACAATTGGTTAGTCGTGACTAGGAAATTGTAATACGACAATATATTTCTCAATTAAAAAACGTTAAATGTAATTTCTTACTTTTTTTATATGGATAAAATGAATGATGTTATTTATAATACGATAAAATGTTGTCATAAATTGCCAACGACAATAATGAAACGTTTCATTTTATACAGAATGCGCATTTCATGTACAAAAAGGAAAGTATTGAGAAAAACATACGACAGTAAAACAATGGCGATGCATTCTATTTTATGTTTTATTTTATATTTTATTTTATTTTATATTTCATACTGCTTTATTTTACATTTAATTGTTTTGTAAAGTAGATATTTATAGTTTTTATACTTTAGTAAAGTAGATATTTATGTGTTATGACACTGATATATCCTTGGATGTATCTATAATAAATATAGCATCGAATACATCTTGTCTTCTATTATATTTCTGAATCCTTGTTTGAATGTGTATGCATTCGCGCGTCGTATTTTGATTGGTTCCGCCATTTTTCCTCATCCCATCAGAGACCCAATGAAAAGAGGTCTACGACTTTGCCGGACTCTCTATTCTAGGAACACTAGGTCCAATCACTGCCCCTTTAATCTTTGCGGTCCCGATCACGTGGTATCCCGCCATAATATAACTAGTGTGCCCACTCTGTCCTTTCTTATGTTTTGCATCGATCCTTTCTGCGTATCCGCCATTTTTTTTGGTGGAGCCAATGAGACGGATGTTGTATATGTGGTAGTGTGAAATCAGTGTGACAGGATTTTATACCAAAAAACATGGCGAAAGACCACGTGATCGAAACCGAAGAGATGAAAGGACCGACAGAGAGTGAGCATACTAGTCATACTATGATTTCGCCATGTCTTTGGTCCAAATCCAGCAGCGTGTGTGTTTGTGTGTGTGCGTGTGTGTGTGCGTGTATACTCATCAAGCCACACTACCACACATACAACTTTTCTCTCATTGGCTGGACCGACAAAGTGTCGGAGAAATCGACGAGAAACGAAACAAATGACGGAGTGGACCTACTGGGTATACTA